GTGCTATTCCATTGTGTATGCATCAGGGTAGCCTGAAGGCTGAAAACCGATATTTATTTGTTGCCAGTGATTGGAACACTTGCGATTTGAAAAGCTCTCCGTGGAGTGCCTAAGTATCTGTATTTGGGGAGAGCTTTACTGGCAGGCACTAGGGTCCAATTCCCCACCTGTCTCACACTTGGAAAAAGGAGGCGGATAAAATGCTAATGGAGTCCGTGGCATGTTACTCACCCTGCACAGGTGTAAATGGCTATGCAAGGGGCAAGAGGATGACAAATCAGGCCTGTTTCTCCCATATCCCAAACCCAAGCGATCTGTCTTGAGGCGCTGGCAGGGAAACAGGCAACCACTGAGCATCCATCTGCCATGACCCTCTCCTGTCCTGGCCCTCTCTGCCTCCCCAGTCACCTACAGGGCGTGTGAGGCTTGCCCTGGTAGCACTTGTGCCTTTATGTTTCCTCATTTCTACTGCTACAATTACTGCAGAGGGCCCAGTTCTTCAAGAAGCTGTGCGCATCATCCCACCAGAGACATCAAGCAGTTGCACGTCACCTTGCAGAATTGGGCCCTTTTCAGTGGCAGAACAAGCACAGCTGCCACCATGTTGTTTCAAAGGAAGAGTTTTGAAGCTACCACTGCCCTTCCTTTGGGGAGATCTTCTGTGGGGATCAGACACTTGGCTGCTTGGGGCGCAGACTTTTCGGACTATTATAGATGCTTATTTCAAACTTGTACCCTCTTTGTTTTTAGGTGGGGGAGGGGGGATTTCTCTCACAGGCTGTGTCCAGACTCAGGGGTTTTTTCGGAAAAAGTAGCCTTTTTCCGAAAAAACTTCACCTGCGTCTAGACTGCAGCCGCGTTCTTTCGAAATTAAATTGAAAGAACGCGGCTTTTCTTTCGACGGCGGTAAACCTCATTTCACGAGGAAGAACGCCTTCTTTCGAAAGTGCTCTTTCGAAAGAAGGCGTTCTTGAATGTAAATAGGGCTTCTTCGAAAGAGAGCATCCAGACTCACTGGGTGCTTTCTTTCAAAAAAGCGGCTTGCTTTTTCGAAAGTTCCGTGTGCAGTCTAGACGCTCTCTTTCGAAAGAGGCTTTTTCGAAAGTATCTTTCAAAAGAGCCTCTTTCGAAAGAGGCTTGCAGTCTAGACATAGCCACAGAGACTTTTTTGAATCATCTTGAAGATTTGCATAGAGAGTGATGCCCTTTGTGTGCCATGCTAGAGGCTGGATCAACTCACAGAAAGGAGAGGGATGATTTTAGACTAATTTCTGTACGCTCTTTCGAAAGAGGCTTTTTCGAAAGTATCTTTCAAAAGAGCCTCTTTCGAAAGAGGCTTGCAGTCTAGACATAGCCACAGAGACTTTTTTGAATCATCTTGAAGATTTGCATAGAGAGTGATGCCCTTTGTGTGCCATGCTAGAGGCTGGATCAACTCACAGAAAGGAGAGGGATGATTTTAGACTAATTTCTGTACGCTCTTAT